TACACTTTATATGTGATCCTTTGTGCTAACTCTTTTATCAAGATTAACACTCTAGTCTCAATAGCACATGGGTCCCTAAAAACTGCCTAAATACTTAGTTAGGTACGACGTGAGTTGGGAACAATTAAGAACTCTTTCAGAGTAATCTTAATTTTCGGTCCATTATTTATGCATTTTAATACATGTCTTTAAGTAAGAGTATTAAAACTAAAAACTAAAAAGAGTATTAGATGTGCCCACTTTATAACGAAAGGATCGGCAGAATATATTACGAAGTAAATTTGAACTTAAGAACTAAATACAGCATTTGTTCTTGTATTAAGAATCTGGATGGTTGTTCGCTACTGAATTCGTAAATTGAAGTTATTCCCTCTAGATGTCTTTCCGTCAACCAACTCACTTATAGTCCTGTGTAGACTGTTTAGATCCAATGTTTCTTACTTAACAGGAAACGTTAGATTTACCCATAGTGACTTAGAGCTATCATTATCATTAAACATAAGATAAGCGGTAACATCTGGACATCATCTGCTTTATCAGTGAAGGACACTGCGTGGTCTATAGTCTTCCACAACGTGCAGCATTACAACAATGTATCACAGGGGCAGAGCAGATATTATCTTTAAGGAACAATAAAGAAACAAAGGCAACTCATCAGTTTTCTGAACCACTTGTTATGGTTAAACTGCATAGACTCAGAATAGATGAAAATGTTTTAGAATGCTAACATTAAAATTAGAAGATAGAAAACATATGGTATATGTGCTAATTTATATCTCATCATATAGATCAAATTTAGTTGACTCACGCTGTAGTCACATTCAGCCTTAGTCTTCCGTAATTTTAATGTACTGGCCAGAAGTAATGCAGCTAACTAGTAGTAAACGAATAACTGACCTTACTGTCACTTACATAATACGCTCATCTGAAAGTGAAGCGTACATTCAGAAGTATCACGGCTCGAACCTTGGACCATTCAATCTGTATCTTGACACTCTAACCGTTATGCTATGGCCATCCCATAAAATATATCGAAATAGTTGAACTTCAGAAAAGAAAAAAAAACAACATCTGTACCACAGTTTTTGTAATTACTAGCATAATTAGATCGATTTTTGTAGTGAGTTAAGACTATTTCTTGGTCGGTTTATATAGTAATGAGTAGAGTTCAGCAATTAGCCATATTTGCTAATCCATTAATCATCGGACTCATTAATCTGATACATTATTCGATCAGTACCATGGATTTTGTTTGTTTGTCTGAAGTTAAGCACAAAGCTACACAATGAACTATCTATACTTTGCCCACCACGGGTATCGAAAGCCAGTTTCTAGCGTCGTATGTCTGTAGGAATACCGCTGTACCACACTGGGGAGCTCGATCAAGTCTGGTTATTTGTTTGTTTGTAGTTAAGCACAAAGCTGCACAAAAGGGTATCTAGCTTTGTAAGTCTGCAGACATGCTGCTGTGCCACTGGGGAGCAAGGATTCGATCAGTACCCCACGTTCCCAACTTCCCGCACAAGCAAACTTAGAATGTCAATTTTTTCAACCATGGCATTATTATAACATGGTATTAGTTTCCTATTTTCTTTTTTTAGCAATTTACGACTTACCCATGATTTCATATGATAGAACTCTTCTGAAAGTTGCCATTTGCGCATTTTGCGAAAACATAACTTGTACTAAATATTATTAAATAAAAGAAGTAATACAAGTTTGATTTTGTCGTTAATCTAAATAAACCTGGCGAGTTCGTGTAACTACAACTAATTTATGTGATTAAAAATAAAATGCAAATACAATTGAATAATAATATATATGCATTACATAATTAACTTTTAATAACGAGAAAACAGTGTGCACTTCGTGTGATATACAATTTCAATGAATCCATTTAAAATATTCGCCATTGATTCGTTCCCTTGCCTGAAATATTGAAAGTTCATTTATGGAAAATATCTTCAGGTTTTATATAGTTCTTGTTCGATAAACCTGACATCTAGTGTGAACTACGAGCATTATATTTTAAACATATTAGTAGTTGACTTCCAACTCAAAAGATGGCGATGTAACCCATGTAATAAAGTGCATAAGATGTTGAGATAACGAAAGCTTAATTTGTGGATAATTTGTTTTACTTCGTTGAAAAGTAGCTAATTTACAATTGTTTTTAATAAGTTAGTGTAAGAATAGATAATTTCACGGATTTAATAGAATATAATTAACACTTTATTTGAAACTGGAAGCAATTCCTGGCATCGGGCATGGGCTCGTGGTGAGGGCGCTTGACTTTCAATCTACGGTTTGCGGATTGAAACCCGTCGCTGAACATGTTCGTAGTTTCAGCTGGGTATAAATTATTAAAAAAAATCCTGGAATATTTTATCCTTTTCGAGCTAGTTAATAGCAAGTTTATCTATTACAGAGAGGAAGTACTATACTAATATGTACATTAAACAATACAAAATGTAACGATAAAAGGGAAATAAAAACAGATTAAAATGACATAACTCAAAAAAACAATTATTACGACGAACAAACACGAATTAAATGGACTGCTTAGTTCAAGGTGACACTTACAAAGAACTACGATAAAAAATTAACTCAAGTAGAAGGAACAACGAAGTAGGTAAATGCTTAAATGGTTTGTGAAAGATCTATTCACCGAGGGCAATCGAACCTCGAATTTTAGTGTTGAAAGTCCGTAAACTTACCGCTGATCCACCTGAAGACGGAGCGTATTAGTAAAACACGGATTACTTAAAAACCTTGGATAAACAAACGCATGTTTTTGATGTCTCAAACGTTTAAAGTTTTCGTATATTTGCGATTTTAGTTTAGCCTAAATGAGTACAGTTGGCCACTCAACTAGCTCGAAAATGAGGTAATTGAACTTAGTTCTTATAAAAGCTAAAGTTTTTATGGAATACGAAATTGGAAAGGTTTATATTAAAATTTAAAATGTTTCTTGGCAATTTTGCACCGGAGTAAATTAGCATAAAATGTAATTTAAAAAAAAAATGTTTTTTGTTTTTTTTTCAAAATTTATACGGTTTTTCAGTGTGACTGATTTACTATTATATATATATTTGTTTTAATATCGATGCTTGTTTACGTTAAATTTATATTTAGAAATAGACATAACTCATACTGATAAGTATCTATTGGGAAACTCCCGCCTATTCTCTAAACTTGTAGAAGATTCTCGAGCGTGAGAATCAACAATATATGTGTGTAAGTAAACGCCATCACGGCACCAAAGTGCATAGCACAATATTACGGCGAAGAGACACGTACCATGATCCCTGAGATTCACAATCCGATACATTAACTACTAGGCCACGCCCAGCCCGATGCTTAATTGAAACGATAGCTTAACCACGCATCAAGAAACCGGAAAGCTGGTGTAAATTGAGGAAATGGTTCTTAAAGGACCTTTCTTCAGAATATATTCCAAATAAGCTGAAAATAGAAACTAATTTTTAGGTATTATACGAACACATTGCTAGTCTATTCTCGTGAAAGTTTAACTGAATTTCCTAATTGTTATAATAACAGTTTTAATAACGTGTTTCATATAATAACGAAATAAAGAGATTAACATGAATGCAAATATATCATATTATGAACCTTTATGGTTCATTCTTTATTTACGATGGAAGTCTCACGTTATAAGTAAATAGCAAATGGATAAATATATGAGAAAAAGTAATCATGAGTAAAGAATGACAAAAATCTTGTTTATTGCTTCTTCACATCAAACAGTTAATCTCACAATATAAGGATAAGTAATTCATCACAAATGTTTATAAACATTATGTATATGACTCACAAACACATATATATTACCATATCATATCAAATAGCCTACTGATGTACATATTTTCTGTATTAACGATACATTTCGCGGCTTACCAAGGTCCTTACAATGTTCATGTATGCCTAATTCATCACTAACTGACATAAATATAAAATGGATGATATATAGGCAGTTTCACAAAGAAACGTATTTACGTTCCACACAAGTAGTTTCTTATGTGTAACATTTTTAATAATCAGGAATTATTTCTTTCGTTCGCTATTGCTACTAAAATTGATAGAGCCACATTTAGAACCACTTTCTTTGAAAGTAAAAATATTAGAACGTTTACGCTGTGGATAAAATCTTGAGATTTGTAAGGTATTCTTCGCTTCGGTTGTTGGAAGAACAAATGTATGTCTTCACGATCTTCATACATTGACACTAACTTTCCTGCAATTGTAAAAATCAAAAGAACGCAGGTAATCTCAAATTTGTACTAAAATGTGGTGCAAGTAACAAAAAAGTCACAAAAACTATCTGGAAGAATTCGTAAATGTCACAATTTAAATTGTGTTGTTAAAAATAATGCTTCATCGCTGGAAATGAAAGATTAGCTTAAAAATCATGAAAATAGTCATGGTTAGCTGTATGGCTGACGACATGATCCAATCCATTAAGGTCTAATCCAGTTTGAAATGATAATGTCAAGCAGAATCTGAGAATCAGAATAAAATGTGAAAGGTTATAGCATTTAATCACAAGCATTGTGAAGTTAAGTCCGCATTTTAACTAGAAATTTCCAATTGCTTTAACCGTCTATTTTGATGGTCAAAACGATGTTTCTAAGTGCTAAATGGGTGGGAAGAGCACAGACAGGCAATTGTGTAGCTTTGTGCTTAATTCCAAACAAAGAAACAAGTGCTAAATGAATTCGAATTTCGGCTAGTTCATAGAATTTCATAACATGTAAAGTAATGCTGATCAGTTCAAACGACTTGACATTTTTCAATTAAAATATATATATATCAGACATTTTCTCAATCTCTTTCACATCTGTAAAAGGATTATTAACTTTTGGTAGTTTTTGATAACCTATTTTATCTGTTATGTTCGACTTTTAGAGAGGGATGAAAAAAATAACTTTAAAAGATTTTGAATATATATATAAATTAGTAAGACAATTACAGCCAATATAAAGTCACAATGGAACTGGGTATATAGAACTAATCTACATTTTAACACTGACATTTCATAGGTACTACACTGGAATTGAAAACTGATCGATTTCAGGAAGGGTACGTAACAGCCCTATTCCACGCAGTATGTTTATTCACTTCTATCATAAAGATATGTTCAGATCGCGGATTTCCAAGACAGTTATTTTTTTTAATCGTCTGAATCTTGAATAACCAAAGTGTGAATTTTTAATAGATTTTTTATTTGCAATGCTATTCAACGGATGGCGAAGAAGTTTTGGTTACATACATAGATATTGATATACACTCTACGTAAACTTACCTGCACAACTTCGCCTTCAAATTTTACACATATACATATCCATGAATTTAAAGTTTCTTTTCTTTTTTAACTCGTGTTTACAACTTTCGAGTAGAACCAAATTAAACGTAATGAATACTAGGATCGGACTTAAAAATAACCTCACCAACGACTCAACTATTACATTCAGAACAACGGGACAGATATACAATAACCTCCTCTCTTCAGGGCAAATAGAATAGAACTCAAATGTTGGATCCCGAGCGCTATTGTTCTCCATTTATCCCTGGGGACTAAGTGGACGACAGACATTAAAGGGTCAATGTTACCAATGCTGGTTACCCAGGGGGACATTACAGCAGTACTCTGTTTTATTGCCTCTGCAATAAAGTTACGGTTTTAAGAAAGCTTTTAAGAGTTTCGTTATGGGTGTACTAGTTCCCATCTATTTCTCTTTGTCAGAAGTCAAGTGTATGTTTTTTCTTTATCGCCACGCCAATAAACCAGTATGCTAAGACTCGCGTTACAATGTACGCCTAACTGAATAACTGCTGTTAACTGTACTATATACACTATACATTGATATAATAATAGAAACATTTCTGTCTTGTCTATCATTTCGTTTCACCAGCTCAAACATCTTGAGTGTCCTGATTTGTCTTGGTATTTCTTTCGAATCTCTGACTATTTCTTGAGATTTTACTACATAACTTACCACATGTCACGAGTCAGGATTCCATCTTGGTTTTCATGTTAGAGGTAAGTGTGGTTTCCACCTGTCTGAGCTTTCACCCTATTAACACTTGAATCGCCTAATTAAAATAGCATGGAACTCAAAGCATTCTGTATCAAGACAACTTCATTTTCATATGAAGAAAAATAGTGCTAGAAACACGAAAATTTATCATTAGAGTCACACCATTTACCACTGCATGGAACATTTCGAAGATAACATCCGTTCTGAGATTGAGGATTTGGATGAGATATGTTGACTACAGAGAAGATTCCAGAATGTGTGAACAATCTAAACAGGCATCTACCGATCCAAATCACAATGTAAATAGGATATAGTAACTTCCTATTCCTAGATGTAACAATTAACAATATGTCAAAGGATTTAACGGGAATTTCAAAGATACGATTAAATAACTGAACAATAGATAAAGCTACGCCTTGGGCTTCTGATGAACATGATTTGTAATATAGAGGATGATAAGAAACAAACATCATTACGATCTATTGCATGTTCTTTTGAGCAACATATTTCAGACCTTGGTTTGTGCATAAGAGACACTATGGGAGGGAAGGAAAACAAAATGGAAAGAAAAGAACTTGAATGATAAACTTAAGGAGGTTATAGTTATGAGTGATTCTTTAACAGGGCATGTGAATAGGGTAGCCTGTGGGGTAAATAGGGGGAAAATAATTAGATTATGCAACCCAGGAACACGGGGGGGGAGGATATAATTGACAGAGCAAGAGATATAATAAAGGGGGATAGCAATAGTACAATTTTTGTTATGCACGTAGGGGCTAATGACGTAGGGAAAGGTATGTCAGAGCTAATTGATAAGTACAAGGTGTTGATAAAGGCATATAAAGAAAAGGGTCATAATTTAATTGTCTCAGGGATACTGCCAAGAATTAATTGTGCGATAAAATTATAAGTAGGTCACTAGGGCTGAATGCTAGGCTTAGGTTAATATGTAACGATGAGCAGATTAGCTGTTTGGACTTGTGGGATTAGTTAGTGGGAGAAGATAATTTTTTGGAATGGATGTATGTAACGATAAGCAGATTAGCTGTTTGGACTTGTGGGATTAGTTAGTGGGAGAAGATAATTTTTTGGAATGGATGTATGTAACGATAAGCAGATTAGCTGTTTGGACTTGTGGGATTAGTTAGTGGGAGAAGATAATTTTGAGAAATTTTTAAGATAGGAAGTGAGTAAAAAGTAATGTAAGAAGTATAAGAAATAAAACACATAACTTTAGGACACTGGCAGGAATTTGATATAATGGGAATAATTGAAACATAAATAAATGTAGATGATTTTGACGACATAAATTTCTTTGAAATACAGGATTATACGTTATTTAATATAGATAGAATACTAAAGAAAGGGGAATGAGTAGCTTTATAAGTAAAATGTGAGTTACATCCTGTTCAAGTTGAAGATATCAAATACAATAGCAATGAGGTTGAATCCATTTCGGTTTCTATTAGCAAATATAAAGGGAAGAGGCTTTTAGAGGAAATTTGTTACAGATCACCAGATGATACTGATGAAATTAAATAGAAACGTTTCAGTGAGATAAAGATTTCAACTGTTAATGAGGTCATAATTATGGTTGATTTTAATTTCAGGCATATAGATTGGGAGATACTAGAGTCAAACCATGAGGGAGAAAGGTTTTGCTGCATATGGAGATCAGCAATGATGATATTTTGGTTACAAATTTCAAACAAGCAAACTTTGAAGGGATACAACAGGAATTATCTGTGGTGTATTTGGCAGCTGAGTTATTTGGATACACTGATTAAATGTGGAATGTTTTTAAAGATAATTTTTTTAAATATTGAAGATGAACGTATTCCTTTTAGAAAGAAAAAGGTAGCTACAAGTTTCTTAAGCCATTCAAGCAGTGTGCTGTTGCTAGTGCTAGGGAAAATAGGATTTTAGGTTGTATCTACATATATGTTGAATACAAGTCTAAAGAAGTTATAATTTCATTGTATAGGTCACTGGTTAGGCCACGTTTGCCGTATTATGTTCCGTTTTGAGCTCCTTACCTTAGGAAGGACATTGAATTGTTGGAAAGGGTTCAGAGGAAGGTACTAGAATGGTGCCTGGGATGGAGGGGTTGTCTCCAAAATTATTTTCTATTGGAAAATGAAGAGTTAGAGGGGATCTGATTGAAGTGTTTAAGATTGTTAAGATAACTTATAATGTTGATGAACCCTCTTTGTTTCAATACTTAATGATAGGACTATGGAACACAAATATAAATTTTGGCAGGGTAAGAATCATCTTCAGCTAAGAAAGTTCTATTTTTCTAACAGGGTGGATGGCTTCTGGAATGGTTACCTTCAGATGTTGTAGAGTCAGTAAATTTAAGTGAGTTTAAGAAAAGCTTGATAACTTTATGAATGATAAGTGCTGGCTTTGAGATTTGTTTTTTTTAATTCAATAGTTTTAGTTTAGTAGGATGAGACAACCTAGACAGATCAATAGGTCCCTTGTTGTCCCTAATACTATGTTATGTGAATATTGTACCCAATAAAACTTGAAGAAAATAAAGAACACTGATATTAAGAACAAGAACAAGCCAAAAATCTCATGGAAAATATATAAAGGCTACGCAAACACCATAAAATTAAAACAGCTTTCAGAAGCGCAACACAGTGAAATCACAAACCGTCTATACACTAACGGAAATTAAAAGCATCATTTATAACATCGTTTGTTTGTGTAGATTCCAATAATTGGAGACAAAAAATTAACAAACCTTTAGATGCACATAAAATACACAAAACTCTGTAGTATCATCTGTGTGAAAGCCTTTTGACAGAAAAGGATATACAACAAAACGTAATAATGCTAAAGTAAAGGGGATATGAACTATGAACCACTTGAAAAAAAAAGAAACCTTTTACTTCCGGTTGATTGATAACACATTTAGCCAGCCAAGACTAGAAGTCAAGAAAACCTTTTCGAAACCATCTAAATAGTTAATTCAGGGCACAATGGGATGAGAACCAGAACGAGTAAATAGTACCCCTTTTCACATAAGGCTCGAGACCGAATTCCGGTCTCTGCCACACACAGAGACCTTCTTAGGATTTAACATAGAAGCAGATTAGCTATCGAAATTAACTGGTAGTTAATAAATAATAATGTTAACGAAAGAATAACTAATCAGTAATTAGAGTTGGGTTACACTAAGAAGCTAGTGTTCATGACAAGGATGCCAACATGGCACCATCAAAATACATTCGTAGTTAACAAAATCTGTTTACTTGTAAATACGAAAGTCTGATTGGAAAAGTTACCAACTTGTGAAATATTCGATTACAATCATATATATATATATGTATACACACACATACATATAAAACATATATACACACATACATATAAAACATATATATATATACATACATATAAAACACATAAAATATTTTCAAGAGAGAATCAAAATATAGGAATTATAAAAATTTAAAGAAAATTCGGATGAAAACAAGAAACCGAATTAATTGCTTAAGAATGTCAAAATATATATATATACATTTAATATCTAAGCTTTAAGTTTAATGATAGTCAAAATATATAGTTATATATTTTTTTTACATCTGTGTCTAGCAACATGTGAGATATTATGTAACACTAACCATAAATATTACTTTAAAACTTTATCTCACAAGAAAAATGGTTTTTACCTTTTTAAATGTATCAGTAAAAGTATAGTATTTTGGACAACATAAAACTAATATTGTTGTTCAAACGTCATTCAGGTTACTACTCTGGCAGATTACGAAGATTTTTTGTTACAACTGAAACAGACTAGTTAATGTTGTTATACCGAAGTTTCAGAGCTTAATCGTAGTACAAACTTGTTTGTCTTAGGGTCAATGATTTCTTCGATAATGTTAAAATGTGGTAACTGATGAACTGTTACTAGCAATGAAACGTCATTCTGACGTAACATAAATACACATCCGGCTTCTACAGCACGCGAGAGAAGTGTGCCACACACCAAAGCCCACTTCTGAACAGGCTTTTGTTCTTTGTCACTCTGCAATATGGGTGATTCTGTAATATACTTTTCAAGGAATGTACGCGGACTCAAGTCGTGGCTTAAACAAAGTGCTAAGTGGTCGAGGATAGCTTGCATGCTATGTCGAGGCTGTTGTCTCGTGATTCTTAGATACTTTTGAAGAGCACGTGCCATGGAAGGGAAGATGGACTGAGCTGCCTCTGTTGGATCCATGGGTATTGCTGGACCTAACAATGATAACGAAAATTGATCAATAATTTACCCTAACTATCTTTATGGGATGAACACCTTTTCCTAGGGAAGTGTTATTATAAACAATTATATTTGTCACATAACAATAGTATTAGTATGTTTAAACACTACATTCTGTATTTGGTCCCTTAGGGACATTCCCAAGAAAAAATAGCGCATAATAGTATTTCAAGCAAACTATGCCCGCTACATCCATTGCGGAGACGCGTTTCGCTCAATACCAGAGCTCATCAAGCCGGCTGGGATACAATAAATACAGTAGTTAGTAGTTTGAATTTTATTTATATAAGTCATTTATTATAATAAAAATTATTATGGTGTTAATGTCTTTTCCTTAATAATAACATGATTAAAACACTAAATATTTAAAACGAATTTCAAGTGAGCCATTATCGCGTTTAATAAGTATGCCGACCAAATTATCTTTTACATAAATCAGAAAGCATATTGCCGCTATATATCATTTGAGTCATACACTCCCAGAGAATTTTATGACTTCAATATTCCTAAAACGCATTATCAGTTAACGTTATCTTCACACTTTATTCATTTGAAGTTGAATGTTCAAAGTATTAAAATTCTATAATTATTGGATTGGGTGTATTTCCTTAATAATGCAGTAAAAATAATTCAACTGCAGTGTCAGGAATATACGTTCTATACTATGTAATAAACGAACCGTTTTCTGTTATTTTTCTGGGGTCTAGATTTTTCCAGGTACAAAATTCACCCGAGTGTACTTTGGAGAATATACATGTATATATGTCGTACATCAGTATGATAGCACGATAGAAATGTAATATCGTTGAAATTAGCATCGTTGGAATTAGCATGAATTATAATTTTGACTGATATCATTCTTGCATTGCGTTATCCAATGCTAGCTGGTACATAATCTTCCAAAATCTTCACATATCGAAATTTGAGTTTTGTCTTTACTACATAACCTGGCAAATAAATGTTTCTTTCTTTGTTTGTTCTTTTGAATTTCGCGCAAAGCTACACGAGGGCTATCTGCGCTAGCCGTCCCTAATTTAGGAGTGTCAGACTAGAGGGAAGGCAGCTAGTCATCACCACCCAATTATATCACATACATATAATTGTATGTTTTGAAAATCGTAGATATCCTCAAACTTTACTTCCGAAGCTATTTTTCCATGACTCTGTTAGTCAGTTGACCATTAACAATCGAAGTCGCGTCTGGTGATTTTTGTACATCAAATATTTGCCCCCCCCCTTATCCTGATTTAATGTGATTTTAGCAGATTGTAGAGGAACTATGACTAACAGATAAAACACGGGAACCTCCCCTTACCTATTTCAGTCACAGTTTAGATCATACACAATTATATACAATACACACTGAGAAAATGTGGTAACATACTTAATTTGATAGTAAGAATTTCAAGACAGTCGATACAGAAAACTTTATCAGTTAAAGACATCATAGTCTTCAAACAGGTGGGTCCAGAAAAACAAACAATCTGTAAAACATTCTCAGGAAAGTTGTCCATAGATATGATTCCTTGGAAGATAAGAGATCATATATATAGATATGATTCCTTGGAAG